ACGACGCTTTTATATATGTATGGAACCGCTGTCTTGGCGACTACGTGGGCCCGCTAGAGGAACTTATTGCACTCATTCCGGCGCAGACGGAACCCTTGGTCAACGGGGATTCGACGGATGTGCTCAAACGACATGCGAACGCTGCAAAGATGTTTCCATATCTCTCGTTTGTGCTCACTGGCCGCATCTATCCGACTGGTGAAGAGATGGACGATGCCGAGGCCACGAGAGCCAAGGCAGCATTGTACGACTACCTCTTCTCAGGGAACCAATCTGGCACTTCTCAAGCGAAGGGAACATTTCCGAATTTACATGCCGTGTTGGAGTTTGACGCGTCTAGTTTCATGAGCATGTTGAACGAGGCGTTCGAGGATAGTTTCCTGAACGACCAGGAGCCCGATGAGATCCCCTCGCAAGGACTCTCGATCAACCGCCAATACCTGATCAGCATTCTGTTCCAGGTTATGACGCCTACTTCTTTCGATTCTTCAGATACCATCTACCTTGACATGTTCGTTGCGCGCAACCTGCCCAAATACCCTCAATATATCCTGCTGTCTGGCACGACGCTTCATCAAGTATTAGTGCGACTATGTCGCTACCCGAGTGAGGAGATGGCGGACGACTGTGAGCTCAGTGCGGAATACTTACTGTCTATTTATCATCCTCCGGATATCCAGAATATGATCCCACTTTTTCGGGAAGCTCGCTTCTACCGAATCTTGAAATCTACGTACCGCTCCGAGAGACAATTCCCTGAGTTGATACTCACTTATCTTGAGGACCCCAGCGAGCAGGAAGCGATATTTGCTTGTCTACAAGATTGTCTCCGTCCCGGCTCCATATTGGGCAAAAAACAGAGACGGGATGTGGTTGATGTGATCAAGAAACGGGCTGGACAACTGGCCGGCGTTGATGTGAGAAAAGCCGCGCAGACAATGCAGGAATTCGCCCCCGAAACGCATGAAACATTTCTCAAGGCTCTGGAAGACGACAGTTACAAGCAGTACCAGTATCTGCTCGTCGTCGTGGAAAGCCCGACGCGGGATGTTGCAGAAGCAGGGGCCCCCCGAAACGCCGCAAACTGGATGATTGAGCGATATGTGCAGCTGCTTTGCAGGTACAACCCCGCGCATGTTGCTGAGTTTGTGGATGACTTGCGAACGGGTGATGTGCGGCTGGAGGAGTTGCTGCCTGCCATGGAAGAAAGCGGGGTGGTCGATGCGGCTGTCATTCTGCTGGTGAGGCAAGGTCAGGTGCGAACTGCAATGGACCGGCTCATCGCTCACTTGGGTGCACTGCAATCGGGTCTGGTGGGAATATTGCAGAGTGCGCGACAGTCTCCTGACTCTGCCAGTACGGCGGAAGCCATTACGGATCTTCTTGAATCCTTGGACAAGTACGCACACGTTGGCATCTGGCTGTGCCAAAGTCAGAGCCAGACGACCAAAAAGTCACGGCCGGAGAGGAACGGCACCGGCAGCAAGGTTGTGTTGGACCAGCCTCTGTCGTTCAACGAGACCCTGTGGCTGGACCTCATTGAGGCAGTAGTTCGCATCGCGAGCAGTGTATTTGCTCTGATGCGAGGACAGCAGGGTGACGACGACGAGCTCACACAGGTGGCTCCTGGGACCTCTTCTTCGCTGGGCAACAGTACTGCCCATCTCATGTCGTCCGTCCGCACTTTGGTTCAACAAGTATTTACTGCTCTTCTGTCCAGCACTGTCAAGCTAGGCGGAGCGGCAACTAGTGCCGAGCGGACCGATGTAACCTTTCTCCGCATCCTACGTGCATTTCTCACTCGAGCTGCCAGCTGGTCACCATCGCTTCTCGAGCTGCGTGCCGTCCTGGCGTCGGTCTTCTCCGCGTACACGTACGAAAAATCCCTACTGGCTCTGGCCAACGGCATGCTCGATCGAGACCTCTTTGTGCACGTGGAGGAGGTCACGCGGTTGCGTCAACGAGGATGGCGGCCGCGGGGGCAAGTGTGCGAGATCTGCCGGCAACGCATCTGGGGTCCCGGGATGGGATCGCAGTACTGGGAAGCGTGGGAGACAAGACAGGAAGGGGAGCGGCAGCGGCGGGCGATCAAACGTCTGGAAGGCAGATTTGATCCTGCAACTGCCCGGGGGAAGGGGAAGGCTGCTGCCGTGGGCGTAGTCGCTGGTCCGTCACTGCACTACGACGGGCATGTGCAACATGACCATCAACATCGGGAAGTTGTCGGAGCGCCTGAAACCGACGAGGCTTTTCGCAATGCCGAAGAAAAGCGAATCGGCCCCGCCGTTGTGTTTTCCTGCCGTCATTTGTACCACCAACAGTGTCTGGTGGACACGGCTGAGGCTGGACGGGCGAGTAAGCGAAACTCGGCCCATTTTGCGCCGGATGGAACAGGATCGGAGTTGTCATGTCCGGCTTGTACATAAACAGGACTTTGGAAACCATCTAGTCATCATTCTTATACTAATCATATCTCCGTATGATGTAAAATATGCACCAACCCTGCTTTGTCTTGTCCCCTTGCTGCATTCTCAAGGCATGCCATGTCATGTCCTCGGCATATTTGCCAGATGTCATAGTTTGGAAAAACGCGTCAGTGCCATTTTCGCAGCATTAAAATCTATCAGCAGACCAGAACTGTAACGCAACGAAAATAATGCAACAGCATGGCGATAGTTGTATTGGAATGCTGACGCCACTGCAACATGGCCTCGTGCGTCGCACGATACAACCATGAAGAAATCGCAGTCGGCAGTTGACTATATCCCGGTTCATCATTGACATCAGATAGATGAGAACCTGCAAGAATAACCGGCGTCGACAGGGGACGGAGATGACATCGGAGTCATTTCTTCACTAGAAGATGGATCCATCCATTCACGCCCTGTTCCTTATTCGACGTGACGAGTCGAGTGACAGTCAGTAGACCCCTTTTTCACGCTTGTTGATCCTGCATGGTTACAATCACATCCAGACTAAGAAAGCTTAGAATGTGATTGATGCAAGCCGCTGTTTCACTTTATTTTCCAGTGACTGCTGTTCCCGTCCACTAAGATGCTGGAATCGATAATGATCAAGCCTTCTGACAATAGCGCAGCTGGGGCTTCGGGCTGAGAAGAGGCCCCCAAATTCCCCGTTTCATCATTTTCAAGGTCTTTCGGTGATGAGCTGACTTACCCTGATTATCTCGCTCCGAGTTGCCATGTCCACAGGGCCTCTGATACATCGCATCGTGGCTCCACACCTGGTCTCAGGGCCTGGCCTGGTGCGGGTAGATGCATCATCATCATCATCTTCTTCTTCATGGCCGGGCGCCACATTGTATTAGTGCATTAGTGCAGAGCTTCGTTTTGTTCTGCTTACGAGCTGAGCTGACTGGCATGCATTACATGTATATATTCAAATGGACCTGGACGAGAAGGATGTTCCATATCTTCCTCTCGTTGTTGAATCACCACTCTCCTTCTCACTCAGCCTTGTGCTGTCACTCTTTATTCTACTGTGACTACACTCATTGGATAGACGAAACACTCCTTTTATTCCTGCTGGACAGTTGAATCAAGCCAATATGTACATCCGGTCGACTCTCCCCGTTCTGGGCCTCGCGGCCACCGGCATGGCCGCCTACATCCTCGAAGACGACTACGGCACCTCGACCTCCTTCTTCGACCAATTCTCTTTCTTCACAGCCGCCGACCCAACCGGAGGTTTCGTCTCGTACGTCGACCGCGCCACCGCGCAGAACGCCGGACTGATCTCTGCCGACGGCGCCGTCTACATGGGTGTAGACCATACCAACGTCGCCAGCAACAGCGGCCGGCAGAGCGTCCGCATCACCAGCACGAAGAGCTACACACACGGCCTCGTAATCTTGGATCTGGCGCACATGCCAGGAGGTATCTGCGGGACCTGGCCTGCCTTGTACATTCCCTTCTCCCCACAGTATCAGCGAAGAACAAAAGCTAACATCACACAGCTGGATGGTCGGCCCCGACTGGCCCGCCAACGGCGAGATCGACATCATCGAGGGCGTCAACACTCAAGCCACCAACCAGATGACCCTCCACGCCACGGACGGCTGCACCATCGCCAACGACGGCTTCACCGGCACCCTGCTGACGAGCAACTGCTACGACTACGCCCGCGGCCAACCCACCAACGCAGGCTGCGGCATCGCCGCCACCTCGAGCCTGACCTACGGGACGGCGTTCAACAACGCCGGCGGCGGCATCTACGCAACCGAGTGGACCTCCGCCGGCATCAGCATCTGGTTCTTTCCTCGCAAATATACGCCGCGGGACATCAGAAACGGCACGCCCAACCCGGAGAACTGGGGAACGCCGCTCGCCAGCTTTGCCCCGGGCAGCTGTGACTTTGATTCCCATTTCAGCGAGCTGCAGATTGTATGTCCCCTTCCCTTTTTCTCTCCTTTCAGTAGGTTTGCAGCGGGCTGACAGAAAAAAGGTGTTCGATACGACGTTCTGCGGCGGCTGGGCCAGCAGTGTCTGGGACTCAGGCAGCTGTGCGTCCGAGGCGTCCTCCTGCCAGGATTTCGTCGCGAATAACCCCTCTGCGTTTACGGAGGCGTACTGGCTCATCAATTCGCTCCAGGTGTATCAGGATGCTTCTAGTGCGAGCGTGGGCAGGGTGAATGCCACTGAGCATCTGCAGGCGCAGTTGCCCTTGGAGGGTCGCAGGCGCCGTTCTGTTCGGCATGGTCGTGGCTTTTAGGGACGCTGTTGAGAGGTGAGGGTAGATGTTATTGTGGATGTTGTGCATATTTCATCTGAGTATACCCTGTTTATAGACAAGCTTTGAGGTGACGTACATTTTGTCCATCTCTGTAATCTACTTGCACTTTTAACGTTTACATTTTGATCAATATGCAATGAGCTATGCAAGTTTCGTGTCTGTTAGGATATGTTATCAGTAGCCTGACATTATTTACACATTAGCTATGCCAATCATTGATTCAAAGCAAAACATTATTGGCCGGTCGTTCACATCTTAAATCCAAGCATATCTCTATTATCATCCGTCAGTCGACCCCACTCTAACAGCAGGCGGAAGAAGTAGATCTCCATGTCCTCCTTCCGCAGGGCCTTCTCGGCCCACTTGCGTCCTTCTTCGGCAATATACTTGCCTCGAGCATCGTGTCGCTGCGTTAAGTCTTTGGGCTGACCGGTGGGGTCTCCACGGACTGGCGTGTCGAATTTGGCAAAGTAGGCCAGAGTGCTCCACACTCCGTGCAGGCGGACATCAATAGGAACATAGTGGCGCCAGGGAGTGACCCGCCGGTCTAACCACTGTCGAAACAAGCCAGTCTTGAAGGGCAGACTGTGACTCTGTAAAAACGGCAGAAATCGACCGCTGAAGCCCGCGCCGTCCAGGTCAAACAGATAGCGATACTTCCAGTGGGACTGGAAATCTACCGAGGAGGCGGCGCCCAGCTCTTCCTTTTGCGCCTCGCAATCCGAGCCACATCGAACAGGATTCAGGATGTTAACAGTGGCGTTCAGTCCGAGGATATTCGTAGGAGCTGAGCCGTCTAGGATCTCATACCGATAGCTATCGGTACCTTCAACGGGCAGCAAGACCGATACGTGGCTCAGAGTATTGTTGTTGATGAGGTGCGCAAAACGTTGACGAGGCATTCCCTTCCATTCCCCTGACCGGCTCACTCCCTCGGACGTGCTGCCAATCCAGAAAAGCGTATTCTCCTTCTTCTCGTACTCCTGGTCGGGATACTCATCAGACGGGTCGTACTTGATCTTATCCACATAGTTCCACGGACTAGGAAACAAGATATCATTGAATCCAGACACCTTGCTTTGGCTGAAAACAGGCGTCAAGACTTGGGATACTTTGAATGATGCAGGAGAAAGGAAGAACCCGTGAAGCGATGCAAGGTCCGGCTGATGGCATATGTCGGTCATGCTGTTCGCATCTAGGGGAAACTGACCCATCGAGTGCGGCCGCACACAGTCCGGGCAAATGTGGCGCCGGTCCCAGATCCGTTTCGTCCGAGCTTTCGAGGACGGAGGACATAGCTGGCGGATATATCGGTCGAAAATAGGTTGTATCGAGCTATCTGTAAATACTGTCTCGGTCGTTTGATCGGCTGGCTCTATAGGAGCCCACTGCATGCCACGGTCCGCCGACCATACAGTTACAACGCTGTTATCGGGAGCCGGGCCATGAGATTTTGCTTTTGTCTCCAACTTGGATGCCTCCTCCCAGGGCACGGCCACGCGTGGCTCGTCGTTTAGGTTGAAAGCCAGGTCCATGTCGGGTAAATATTGAGAGAAGTTCTCGATCATTTTGGCAGCACCCAGGACCATCCAGGCATGAGTTGGCTTGATCCCCTCTTGTACTCTGGGCGTGCCATTCCTAATGCTGATCGCCCCAATGTCGTTGAATGGGTTTGTGGCCAAGTCGCGTGTTAGGTCTCGGAGCCTCGCGGGAGACAATGCACGAAACGGGAGAAGATCCATATGGATTTGATCAAAGTCATCAATCACAACGGAAGACCTACTGTTGGCGTATTCGTACCATTTATCAAAGCCCCTATGTAACAGTCAGTCGATGGGCGCGCAATCTCATATCATTTTACGTTAATGGGCGGCTCACGGTGGAGGATGCTGATTATACCGTTTGCGATAGTTCGCAACAGCATCAGCAAGACTTTCGCTGCTTTTCGCCTGAGAAGACCATGCGTCGTGATGTTTTATGTTCTCATAGATCAACAGCTCGATCGTATGGAGATTCGTCAACACTGGCTGACTAGCGACCAGGATGATGCCAATGCCAAAAAGTGCCGAGAACAACACTCGCATCACAATATTTGCTCTGTGTAAGAAAGGCAGTTCTTCGTTGGATGCCGTACGCCCGCACAAGTACAACACACCCCCAAGAAAGGTAGCAAGAAGGGAGGCGAAAGCATGTGACGGATAGATCAATGGAAAGGGCTCTTGTCCATCGAACAATGTAGCGGTCAGCGTGAAGCAACCGACAACGAACCCAGCCAGAATGGAAATTCCGATTATGCCGTAAAACGGTATCTAGTACTGCTCAGCAGGATTCAAAGGCATGCATTTATACCATAACTTACAAGCTGAGAAGTGGAAAGCACAAGGAGAGTCATCAGCAGACTTTGATTGAATGCGCTTGGCAAGTAGTGAGAGGTGACAATGCCGTCAATCTGATCCCTGGTCCGAATGGCGAGAATAATTGCGATCAGGGTCCAAAAACCAGCAACTCCCTATTAATTGCATTAGACCACAACTCCATCCGGCGGCGAGTACACTTACAAGTAGACCAAAACCGCAGGAGACCAGAAAATGTTTATTTCTGCCTTCTCGAGGCCGAGTGCTTTCCCAAAATAGTTCACTCACGCTAATCAAGATCACCAAGTCAAGCAAGACACTCAAAATCCTGATGAACCGCAGTACGGCATATTGGCCCGAACTGATTGGGCAGATATAAGTCGACTGTATGCCTTCTTGAAACTCCGATGCCACTACTCCGCCAATCATGAGAAAAGTAGCCGATATGACGTATCGCATGCGGCTCTGACAGAAAACGGCGTGTACATGTCGGGCAATGATGACCAGTTTGCGAATTTGCGCATTGAGAGAGATTTCTGAATCAGTGTCGGAGCCTTCTGGGATTGAACGTGATCGTTGATTGCGCCAATAATCGTAGATTGAAACGAGGAACGGTATCGCGTACTAAGGGAACGTAATACTTGGTCAAAAGGTGCCGCTGCGCTGGCCTTTTCCGAGCCCACTTACTGCGTATCCGACTGGCGCGCACTCAATCTTAAAGGTCACCTGGCGATGCAACTCTACCCTTATCCAGCCAAGCATCGAAATCAAGGCAATCTTGGTCCACCATCTCCGATTACCCGATTTTGTAAGGAAGAAATCACTGATCGGACTGCTGAGCGAAAGAGGCGCCTCTCCGGATGGTTGATCACCGCGTTCGGCGAGAGGGATGGCAGTGTATTTGTGCTGCGGTTGGGGTATGCGTGGAATATTGATATCGAATCTGCTTAAAATCAAGAGCGATACACCCGAAAGAAAGGACGCAAAGATGAGCGTATGCTGGGGCCGGTCTGTGAAAACGGTCGGTGAGCACCAGCCATCTGATTGAAGTCCGCGCTGCCTTGGTCAATGGAATATGACTGCTCTTACCAAAAGCGAATGTCGTCGTGTAGGAAGTCGTTAGAAACATGCAACTCATAAGAAATACCCTGTTGGACTCGGTCAGGGACAGCACATGAAATGAGACAACCTCCTGAGATCTCCCTACCCCAAAGAGGCTTTGAGCCCCGTCTCCGCGGAGAGCCAAATCATATTCAAGGATTCTGCTTGTTGATAGCCAGAGAAGCCGCTATGGAGCCATTGCCAATTACTTTATGTGAAAGCGCTCATTGCAAAAAATGTCGAAATAATTAGACAGCTTTGGAGGAACGCGACTGCAGCTGAATTTCCAAATCTCGTGTCTTGCGGGCGTTCCGAGGCGGGCAAAACAGGGATATTTCCAGCGTTCAGTGAGGCGATATGCGACAGGACACAATTCAGTATTAAAGCAACGATCTCAAAACGAGAGAACGCAGCAACGATGTAGATTGAGTTGTGCCGGCACGAACAGGGGTGGTGAAGAAAAAAGAAACAAATGAGGCTAGACCAGGGGATATTAATGGAAGGGTTGCGTCAACGAGTCATTCTGGACCCATGGGGGCCGGGCAGATAGTGGGCCGTTGAAGGAACTCTGCTTGCGACCCTGCGGAGCATTTTGATTGCGATGACCGACAAAATGCATTCGTCTCCGCTAGCACATAGAGATACAGCAGCTAGACTACTCCACGGATTGTCAGCGTAGTGATCTCCGATTGGCTCTGCATTGTCGTTTGATGATCAAAAGCTGATGGTAGACAAAGTCCATCAGTTCAGAGAGGAATACCTCGATTTCGGCCATTTGATGACACTAATTCTGATCATTCGTTAGCTAAACCTGGCCAATCTTTTGTTGCTTGTTGTCCGTGCTAGCGCAGGGTCCAATCATTAGCAGGGAAGCTCGGAAGCGTAACTGACCTTGGAAACTTGGAACTATATAGACACCGTCTTATTCATGACAAAAAGTCACTGGATCTTCCATGGATGATGGAATTGATTAGGCGGAAGCCTTGATGGATGGATACTGTCATACTGTCACGAACCGTGGGTGTCATTCCTGTACCTGAGAATAGTTGACGGAATAGTACATAGTAGACCGACCTAATCGGGAATAACGTCAAAATTGAACGATGACCGCCCATTTCGGCTAGTCCCTCGGGGCTATTCTGCTTCAGGGAAAGTGCCGTCTTCTGGGTAAAGTTTGTGCACGTGGCTACCTTCTTCCCTAGGCGGTAGCTTTTACGGCAAGCGGTAGGCAATGGCAGATCATCAGTTGCTGATAACAATTTTTTCCCTCTAATCAGTCTAGACTGAGGATACGGCTATAGCTCTGATTCTTTTCTGCACCCTCTTTTTATGGGTTTCATCTTTGCCTAGTCTGCTTCTAAGAACCTGGGCCTTACTACCAACAATAATAGCAGACGGCAGAGCCGGCAGAACCTTGCTGCTCCCTTTGTGAGCATCACCCCTAGTGGTTGACCCTACGCAGGAGAGACTAGATCAAAATGCCACGCAAGGCAATTGATTCGCGCATTCCCGCGCTCATTCGGAATAATGTACAGGAGAAGAAAAGAAGCTTCTTTGTGGTGGTCGGCGACCGCGCCAAAGATGTGATTGTCAACCTGCATTACATTATGTCCAGCGTCGATGTCAAGCAGAATAAGTCGGTCCTCTGGGCGTACAAGAAAGACCTCCTCGGATTCACAAGCCATCGGAAGAAGCGCGAAGCGAAGATCAAGAAGGAAGTCAAGCGAGGTATCAGAGAACCTAACCAGGAGGATCCGTTCGAACTGTTCATCACTCTCAACCAGATCCGATATGTGTACTACAAAGAGACGGAGAAGATCCTGGGTAATACTTACGGAATGTGCATTCTTCAAGACTTCGAAGCCATCACGCCGAACCTGCTTGCCCGTACCATCGAGACCGTGGAAGGAGGTGGTATCGTGTTGCTTCTGCTCAAGGGAATGAAAAGTCTGAAGCAGCTCTACACGTTATCTATGGATATTCATTCGAGATATAGGACCGAAGCGCATGATGATGTGGTCGCCCGTTTCAACGAGCGCTTTATCCTCTCTCTTGGCAGCTGTGATTCATGCTTGGTTGTTGATGATGAGTTGAATGTCCTCCCAATCTCTGGTGGGAAGAACGTGAAGCCTCTTCCACCGCCAGAGTCCCTTGACGACAACACAGGCACAAAGAAGGAATTGAAAGAGATCAAGGATAGCTTAGCAGACACTCAGCCGGTGGGCTCGTTGGTTAGTCTAGCTCGTACTGTTGACCAGGCGAAGGCGCTCTTGACCTTTGTCGACGTGATTGCCGAGAAGACCCTCCGCAGCACCGTCACCTTGACCGCTGCTAGAGGTCGGGGAAAGTCGGCAGCTCTTGGTGTTGCCATCGCGGCAGCGGTGGCTCATGGATACAGTAACATTTTCATCACCTCTCCTAGCCCGGAGAACTTGAAGACCCTGTTTGAATTCATCTTCAAAGGGTTTGATGCTCTTGGATACCTCGATCACGTTGATTACACCATCCTTCAATCCACCAACCCGGACTTCAATAAGGCTATTGTGAGAGTCAACATCCATCGCCAGCATCGCCAGACCATTCAATATATTCAGCCCCAGGATGCTCATGTTCTCGGTCAGGCGGAGCTTCTAGTTATTGATGAGGCAGCAGCCATTCCTCTGCCCCTGGTGCGCAAGCTGATGGGCCCATACCTGGTATTCATGGCCTCCACTATCAACGGTTACGAGGGTACTGGTCGGTCGCTCTCTCTGAAGCTGATCCAGCAGCTTCGCGAGCAGTCCAGGGGTGGTCTGAAGGCCAGCGGCCAGGACGATACAGATATTGCTGATAGAGCCACTGGCAAGGCTTCCAAGGGCGCAGAGAAGAACTTAGGTGGACGCTCGCTCAGGGAGATTACTCTGTCAGAACCTATCCGTTACGCACCTGGGGATTCAGTGGAGAAGTGGCTGAACAAAGTCCTGTGCCTGGATGCGACGCTTCCAAAGTCCAAGATCAACACACAGGGCTGCCCACACCCGTCACAGTGCCAACTCCTGCAAGTCAACCGAGACACGTTATTCTCTTTCCATCCAGTCTCTGAAAAGTTCTTGCAGCAGATGATGGCTCTGTACGTTGCCAGTCACTACAAGAACACACCTAACGATCTCCAACTGATGAGCGATGCGCCTGCGCATCAGCTCTTCGTGCTGGTGCCCCCCATCGACGAGGACGCTGCCAAGCTTCCTGAGCCACTTTGCGTTATTCAAGTTGCTCTGGAGGGTCGTATCAGCAGGCAAAGTGTTCTGAACAGCTTGAGCCGTGGCCAACGGGCAGGTGGCGACTTGATCCCATGGCTTGTCAGCCAGCAGTACCAGGATGAGGACTTTGCCAGTCTCTCAGGCGCCCGAATTGTGCGCATTGCAACCAATCCAGAATATATGAACATGGGCTACGGATCCCGCGCTCTGGAGCTCCTGGTTGATTTCTACGAGGGCAAGTTTACGGATCTCTCTGAGAACATCCCGGACGCGCAGGAAGAGATGATCAGGGTCACTGATGAAGAGCTCGCCAACTCATCTCTCCTTGATGACAACGTCCATGTTCGGGATATCCGCTCTATGCCCCCTCTGTTCGGCAAGCTGTCCGAGCGTCGTCCAGACGCACTGGACTACGTCGGCGTCAGTTACGGTTTGACACCACCGCTGCACAAATTCTGGAAACGCTCTTCGTTCGTTCCTGTCTATCTTCGCCAGACTCCAAACGACTTGACTGGTGAACATTCTTGTGTGATGCTGCGCACACTCGCCTCCGCAGCCAGCGACGCTAGCTGGCTCGGAGCCTTTGCTCGGGACTTCCACAAGCGATTCCTGGCTTTGCTCTCGTACCAATTCCGAGAATTCCCCTCTGTGCTCTCCCTCAGCATCTGCGAATCCGCCACTGCGGGCGCTAAGCTCGACACCTCGTACACCCCTTCTTTGCTCAAGAAGAGCGATCTGGACGCGGCCTTCTCCCCCTTCGACCTCAAGCGCCTTGACAGCTACGCAAATAACCTGCTTGACTATCACGTCATCCTCGATATGGTTCCCACCGTTGCGGAGTACTACTTCTCCGGCCGCCTGAGCGGCAAGGTCAACCTCTCCGGCGTTCAGCAGTCCATCCTGCTCGCCATCGGCCTCCAGCGCAAGAACCTCGACGACGTCGAGAAGGAGCTGAACCTGCCCTCATCGCAGCTTCTGGCCATGTTCCTCAAGATCGTCCGCAAGACGTCAACTCACTTCCGCGGCTTAGTCGAGGGCGCCGTCGCAGAGACCCTCCCCGCCGGGAATGTGCCCGTTGCGCAGACCTCGGCCGATGCGCACGACGAGGTTGTCGACGAGCGGTTCAAGCCCCTGGATACAGGTCTGGAGGATGAGCTGCGCGAGGGCGGCCAGCAGGTCGACGAAGAGCTGAGGGAAAAGCAGAGAGCCTTGATTGATTCTCTGCCTCTGGACAAGTGAGTCAGCCCAAACCCACTCTTACAAGACTCTGTGGACCCCGTCGTTGGACGAACAATAACTGATTTCTAGCCTCCAGATACGAGATCGATAACGGCAGCGCCGCGTGGGAGGAAGCCGAGAAGCAGATCCGCAGCGGAGGCGCCGCAACCGTCAGCATCAAGTCCGCGAAAGCAAGCAAGCGGAAGAAGGGCGAGACCGCCCGAGAGATCTATGACCAGGAGATCGAGTCGAAAAGACAGAAGATCATCAAGAAGGGAACCGAAGGAAAAAAGAAGGCATGAAGTATTCACCTGAATCATTCCAGTCTTGCATGAAAGAACGGTGTTATGGTATTCTCTTGTGAAGAGGTTTTACGTTTCTGTATATATGCCTGGTATATCCAAAAAGTTTGAATAGAGGTTCGCATATCGCATACTCTCATCCTTGTCAAAAACGCCTTTTGCTTGAGGATACATAACCTAGACACTATCTCGAAAATTTACAACTCGTCATGGTCACCCGTCTCTTTAGCAGCCTCTTTATCACCCTCCTTCGTCTGCTCGACAAGAACACCTTCTGGCAACTTGCTCTTCGACCCCTCACCCAGTCTTATGGCATCAATCCACGCCTCCACAGACACGGCGCCATAATCCTGACTCTCCGACGCGTCGTAACGCCTCCACCAACCCCTGCGGCCATTCAGGGCAATGATCTCGACCGAGGTCTGGTCCTCGGACAATCCCAGCCCAGCCCGCAGAGTCTTGGCCCCGCTGTTGACAGCGGGAACACTGTAGAACGGGAAAAGCTTGCTCTTGCGCAGGGCGTGCTTGTGCGCGATCTCCGATAGACTGGCCAGCGCCTCTTTCGCGGGGCCGGCGACTTCTGCATCCGCTTCGCGGGGTTCGGGCAGGAGCGCTAGGACGCAGGTACCAGATGTAGGCGTTAGGCAGGCGGCCTCGAGTGCCTCTGCGGTAGGGAGTACGGGGATGGGTGGTGCCTGGATCGGGACCTGGGCGGGCTTTGACTCTGTAGCGTCGTCGGGGACGACTTTGGGGTCGGGGGATTCGGTAGGCTTCAAGTTCTCTGCTTCTTCGTTGAGGATGGTGGAGGATTTGGGCGACTTGGCAGACTTGGTGGACTTGGTGGACTTGGACTTGGAGGATTTGGCCTCGGTTGAGGCGGGGACCGGGTCGGGGTTTGGAGCTGCGACTTGGCTGAGGAACTCGACGATGGCTTGTTTCTTGAGTTCGCCATCGTAGATGATGGGTTCCTTATCACCACCAGGGACCAGGACGAGGGTAGGGAATTCCTTGACACCAAACTTCTCCACGGCGTCTGATTCCTTGTTGCGAATCTGGCCAACCTTGATGGAACCGAGGAACTCAATGGCGACGGCTTTGAGGAGAGCACTCGTGGTACCTTTCTCGGTGAACAGAATAGCCTTGGGAGCCTCCTTGTCCTCGGAGAGCCACTGATTCAGATCCTTGTCCGTGACCTTCTTCACATGATTGGGGATTCTGTCCACAACAGCATCGACGATGGCCTTTGCGCTTCTTGCTCCCTGATAATCCTCCACTTTTGGCTTACCGGGCTTCTTAGACGGTGTGACAATCTTCAGAGTTGGGAAGCCCTGTACGCCCATCCGACCACACAAGGGCTTGTTGGCATCGTCATCGCAGTTCACTGCTGCGACCTTGGCCAGTCCCTCCAGGTTCTTGGCTGCCTTTTCGTATGCAGGCTTGAGGTTCTGACAATGGCCACACCAAGGAGCATAGAATCTAGAGTAGTGCGCATACGTTTTAGAAACTTGTCGATGAGACTAACCGCGAGGGTGGGGAGCTTACTCTACGATCTGGGAGAAGCGTTAGCATCCAGACACCCTACGACAACAATACGCTTCGGAACTATCTTACCGATGTGTAATTAGAGTTAGCAATCAGCTGGTCATAGGTCTTCTGAGTAACCTGCAGAACAGGAGACTTCTTAGTGTACAGCCCATCTGCGTTGACGGACGAAGCCGCCAAAAGCGATGCGACGAGCAGAAGTGCAGAGCTTGGCTGCATCATATTGAAGGAAATTCACTGCCTGTAACGCGGATGATTAGTGATTAGTGAGGAGATGGCAGCAAAGCACATCAGACAATTATCATGATTGTCTAAACGTGGACAGCAGGCGATATTTAGAGCTGTCTGTCTGGGGTGTTGAAGCAAGGTGTCCTGAAGCTCTTGGCATGTGACGGCGGAGATGACCAAAACAACTCCGCCATGATGCAAACAAATCATGCAACCCATCTCCAGCTTCCCCCAGACGCCAATGGCTTATTTGGCTGTAACCCCATCTACCTAGTCTTTTAATCGACTAGCATGCTCAACTTCGGTCGTGACTACTATCGACAATCTCTCATCGTCGAATTTTGGGGTGATGTCATCTAATTGCTCCCAGACACTCTGGTATTCCCCACACTTAAAATAATGGCGGAGACAAAAGGCACGTCGAAGTCTTCACGGGGATCAGGGACAGTGGACTTTCTGCTCATGCCGTTGGAGGTCTTCTGGATGATCTTACAGTATCTTGATGCCAGGGATATTGTACGATGTCGTCGAGTTTCAAAGTATTGGAACGAAGCATTTACCAACCCAGAGCATCTGGTCCGCCTATTGATCCGATTGTTTCCCCGAGCCCCAGAGGTTCGGGCGCTGAAAAGCAAACAGTCATTGGACGAGCTACTCTCAGCGGTTCAGAATGGTGAACATTGGCGCGAAATGTTCGACAGAGTTGCCTCTAGATACCATCATCTCAGCCGGGGCAAGCCAAGGTCGGTCCAAAAGCTCAAGCTCTGTGACGACTTTGGAATCTCAGGAGAAAGAGAGTGGTTCCAGGTACAGCCTTGGGATAGCCATGCCAGTCATCTCATGCAGCGCGTTGATTACCTCTACCCGGAGACATTCTGGACCTACGAGGATGGTCTGCTAGTGTACCCCAGCGCAGGTTACTCCTCTTTGGTCCTCATGGATGTGGAAACCGGTAAGCAGGTTATGGTACCGTTCTTGATTATCGGTAAGGTGATTAGGAGAATACGCTTGCAGAAACGAGTCCTTGTAGTGGAATGGGCTGAGCCAAAAGCCTTTCACTGGCTGAATGACAGCGATGGTGTCCATCGTCATTTTGCATCTTCATTTGACGTGACTCAAGAAGCCAATGGCTGCTGGAATGTTGAGTTTCGCAATGAGTGGAAGATCATGTTCCTCGGCCACCCTCTGAGTGAAAGAGATCGGTTCTACTCCACTCATAACACGACGCATTATGTGATCTACATATGGCAACCCAATCGCAGCTTGTACACTGCCGACGAGGATGCCCCAATCGAGTCCCTGTTCGTTTGGGACATTTCAAAGCCGTCTCCATACAGGCCATCTCTGGATCCTACAGGGCGTCAACGGAGCGAAGAGCCGGATCAAGCTCCCTCCATTGTCTCACGTTTCGGTTTTAGAGAGTTAGGGTTCTTCTCCGTCAGACAACGAGGAGTACCAGGCATGCAAGGCCTAGAAATAACCGATGATAACCAAGCCATAGAAATCATTGAGAACTTGTGCACAGGACCGCTTGACCGACTCGTCGGACCGACGGAGTGGACTTCTCAGGTGCAGATCACGAGCATTCCACTGATTGGCGATGGACCAGTCTGGAGGCGAGATGCTGACTACATCCTATCTCCTTACCGCGGAAGCAATGGGTTACAGACAAAGCCACTCGGTCTGCTTTGCAAACAGTTCTGGTACACAGTCATTTCGGAGGTGTATGATAGAAGATCAAAGGCAGGATTCGCCTTGCATCTGTCTCCACTGGGTTGGCCTTTCGATTCGAAGATTTATTTGAGCATACAGACACCATACTCTCGAATTGTCTTGAAACCTGACGATGCTTTTGAACTCGCTGGTAAGGGAAAGATTTGCGGAAACGAGAAATTCGTGATAGGCGAAAATGCAAACCGCGAAGTTGTCATCTGGAGATTCGATCGCTAGGTGTGATTGGTCTTCCTGGAGCAAACACGAAGTTCCCATCGGCTCGCACCCTGCGCACTGCCCTTGCTACGTCTATTGAAGCGGGCATTTTCTCAATATCCAGCTAGCATTTAAATCTCGCTCGTCATAGATGAACCGAGGGGAAATTGTCTATGGGCCAACGATGTTTGAGGCACAAAGTGACTCGTTCGGTGACTATTGAGGTGCCGTCCCTTCGTGGACCAATTGACAATAACCCCTGTGCCAGCTGGACTGGCAAGTTCGATCCAAGGCAAGACAAGTATGACCGGTGCGAGCTTTCCCACGCCTTCTCGCCAACAAAAGGAAGTCACTGGAATTGAAGGCCGCCGTACGTATAGTACAGAAACTGCCGCTACCGGGAAAAGGTCTAGATACTCGCTGAGACTCTGTCCTCAACTGCATTGACTGGCTCATTCTTTGCGGAGATGCAGCTTGAGTTTCCTTTGTGAATTGACTGGGAATAACCGGCGATAGTTGCAGACGAATTCAGATAGCTAGCCATGAAGACTTAAAACCATGGCTAGATTGATTCTGCGACAACCCAATCAAGATCTTGATGTAGAAATGTTGTAGTAGTAGTGCCAAGTCCGATCGCTAATTGGCCGCAGGTCCTGCCTGATGGCCTAAGGCAACCAACACCCTGTAGATAGTTAGGGTACGGCTAGTCCCGAACAGGCTAAGCGAAAGCGCCCACACAGAACGGGCCCAGCGAAAGGCTGTCTCTGTGTGTGCGAATTTCGAGGTTTGACCTGATCCGACTCCCTCCAACGACGACAACGACGCCCATCCCTCTCACCCCCCCGGCTTCCTCTTCAACTCCCACCGTACACCTTCGAGGTCACAAGTCGTCAAAATGGGTGGTGTCACCGTTCGCGATGTGGACGTAAGTTTGCTCCATTCAGTACCCTGCAGTCTGCGACACCTGTTTCTCTCTTGGCGGTAACGCCGCAATGGATTATTGGCAATGGGAAGAGGGCGAATGTGGTAAACGGAATAAAAATGCTACGGAAGGGACATTCCTTGATATTCAGATCGTTCGCGCATATGGAAATTCACGATAAACTCCGCAACCTGAGGATGTCAAAACTTTTGATGAGACTGAGATACGATCGGGAGAATCGATCACCACACAGCGCACATCGACTGCATGGGAATCGAGTTTATGAAGGAAAATTTCACTGGGACCACCGTTGCCAATAAATCCAGGAGAGAGCAGGAAACAAGGACGAAAACACATGTGAAGGACGAGATCTGTGCTAACGAGTGATTGTTTTCTACCTACAGGCGCAGAAGTTCATTGCTGCCTACTCTGCTTTCCTGAAGCGTCAGGGCAAGCTCCCCATCCCTGGTTCGTTCGACCTCCGCAGCAAACGATCTCACAGGACATCTGGAACTGATGGTTATTAGGATGGGTTGACACTGTCAAGACTTCTTGCTCCAACGAGCTCCCTCCCCAGGACGCCGACTGGTACGATTGATCCCGATTGATCTCAATTAACCGACCTGCTCTGACAGCTGAATGATTGCAGGTACTACGTCCGCGCCGCTGCCGTTGCCCGTCACATCTACATGCGCAAGACCGTCGGTGTCGGCCGCCTGCGCAAGGTCCACGGCTCAACCAAGAACCGTGGCGCCCGCCCCAACCACCACGTCGATGCCTCCGGCTCCGTCGACCGCAAGGTCATGCAGTCTCTCGAGAAGATCGGTGTCCTTGAGTACGATGAGGAGAAGGGCGGTCGCCGCATTACCCAGGCCGGCCAGCGGGATCTTGACCGGATTGCCAAGACCACCGTTGACGAGGAGGAGGAGGACGAGGAGTAAATTAGTCTCCTACTAAAACAATAAAAAGTCCCTGATGTCTTCATCTTGAACCTCTGGTGTTTTTTCCTTGTCTAAGAAATTGTCTTCAGATTACGAAGGGAAAAAAGCTGGGTGGCTTTTGAGTTGAACCGGTCAAGTTACATACAAGTCGGCAACATGGATGAGTTGGATTGATTACACCTATGGATTCAGCGGGAGAGGAATGAAACTTTTTTTACCCTTTTTTTTCACCCTATTCCATTCCAACAGTTGTCGATGATGACCAGATGGGGATGGGGCCAGCGGAGAGACGAAAGCACGTCTCCTCTGTAAATAGCCAGACAGAGGGAGCCATCTGTCTTGTGTCTAATAACGGGATATGATATTACTCTCACGTCCATCTTCCCTCTGCCATTACGTAGTATACAATCATTTCTTCCCGGACTGCGCAGCCGTATCCTAAAGGTAAAACATCACATCAGCCTCACCCATCCCCATCCCGCGACGCGAAAAACCAAAGACCACAAACCTACCAAATAAACCTGATAAAACTTCATCCTCAACCGCTCCCCATCATTATCATCAAAAACCACCCTCCCCGCCCAGGGAACCTCCACTTCCCTCCCCGGCTCCGCCTTAAGCACATACCTCACCGTCCCATACAACATGAGCTCCCTCTCGCCCCCGAAATAGATCTTCTGCGGGCTGTGTTTCCTCGACGCTACATGCGTCCAGAGACCATGGCGCAGGTTTAGGATTTCTAGGACGTGCCGCATTAGCATGGACTTTTAAGAGTCCTTAGATGGGAGGCAAGGGCTAACCCTCCGCTCCGTTTGCGACCTTGGGCCCCATGATTAGTGTCGCGTCGGGTGTGAAGCTGGCGACGTATCGCTCATGCTGGGATTCATTGTCACTGATTTGGTAGAAGGATTCCATGAAGGCGATCATGGCATCTGCGGAGGGTGGGGAGAGGGTGGAGTCGGTGGTGATTTTGTAGGACATTTTGATTGTATGGGGATATAAATTTGAACTGGGTTTGTCTATTTGTGTCTGTGAGAGTGATTGTCTGAATGGTTTTATCTACAATGTTTTGGTTCTAATCTTTGTTGGGAGACTGTCAAATGCCGTGGTATACCTCTGGCAGGTTTCGGGCCGATGCTTGTTGTCCGTATCCGACGTTCCGATATGGTTGTATCGGATGATGCGGGTTGGGTTGCGGACTCAAGGACATGGCCGATCAATCGGACCAGAGCGATGAAGGCAGCTTTCTTACAGTAAGATCTAATCTAGAGTATGATTTGATTGATACATTTATGTACAATTGCTTCCGTTAAGCTTTCTTGTAGTCCTCCTCGGGCAGCTGGAAATCCTCCCAGGTAGGTCGATCAGAGCCGTTCGGTCGACTGGCGCGCGAGAAGCTGTTGTCCACCCCGTCAATTTCCGCAATAGGTTTGACAACCTCAATGTCAGCATTGTACGCCTTGGAGAACCATTTCTCGGTGAGCGCCTCCTGTCCGGCCGCGTCGTCGGGGGCTACATAGAGATGCGGAAACCGCTCCTGCATGATCTTTAGGACGGTCGAGGAGATGCGATCCACGCTGTCGCAGTGCCGAAGCTTGAAAAAATCCGGTGGCTGAGCAGCCCGCATCTTCTCCTGCACAGCATCCGAATACTTGCCCACGGCAAAGAGCAAGAGGTCATAATGCATCAGAGAGGCCATTCCGTGGTAGGATCCGCCGGTCTTTGCACGGTGGTAGAGTCCTGTGAGGGCGGCAATGGCACCCATGCAGCCTGTGCCATAATCAGATATGGGAAACGGAGGTACCACCGGAGTGGAGAGGCCCATGAATTGCCCCTGAGCCCATGCGATACCAGTCACCTGATGAAGGTCAGCCTTGCCCATGTTGGCCATGTTGCCCGTATTTAGTGAGAACTTACGCAATCAGCAATTTGCTGCCAGCCAGGACGGCTGGCCCATTCTCCCTCGTAGCCAAAGCAGTTTTCATTGACGTATACAATGCCCTTGCCACGCTTCTCCGCCAGCGAGGCGAGAGCGTTTGGACCGTATCCCAATCTCTCGAGCGCGCCTGGGCGATAGCCATCGACAAGCACATCCACATCAGCCAGCAGTTCCTCGAACTGACGACGTCCTTCCGTAGTCTTCAGATCCAGATCCGCGGCATGTTTGCCCATGTTACCGTCAACCTGGAAAAAGGGGACATCCGAAAGATTAGGGCTAGTAATCTTCAAGATATCTGCGCCGTACTCGGCCAGAATCCGCGTAACAGTCGGCCCCGCGATGATACGGCAGAGTTCCAGCACCTTGACACCCTCTAGGATCTTCCTGCTTCCACTGCGACTGGTGGGGAAGGGAGTCGGAGGCAAGTCACCGGTGAGACGCTTTACCTTCCATGGAGGTTCCTGCACATTAAGTCGTCCCTGTGAAAAAGTCAGCTTATCGTCCAGCCGCGACAGAAAGACTGACTGAACGAACATGGGGAGTATTGATGAAATCCTCGTATTTGAATGCCGTGACCCCAGCTTGTCTCCTCTCCTTGTTCATCTCTTCTAGCTCGGCAGCGCTGTACTTCTGCACATGGCTCTCAATGACCCTGATGATCTCTTCGTAGTCTGTGAGATCGGGACGGTGTCCCTCCAATCCAATCATGTTGAGCGTCGTCGTAGCCTCAAGAGAGCCATGGATATGAAAGAATTCGTCCTCGTTCTTTGTTCTGTAAAGGTTGGCGGACATCCGACGGTATCCATTCGACTGGGCCGCAAGCAGGTCGGTGTCTAACAGGTCAGTTTCCAGAGGAAGGATTTCTTCAAGCTCGACTCAACCTACCTTTCAATTTCGACTTGACAGCTGGATCCAGTTTAGAAAGTCCGTCAAGTTTGGCCATGTATGCCTGGCATCCGAAAGCTGTCGCCTTCTCCAGGTTGATCTTCACATTGCGCTTCTGTTCACCAAATCGCAAGTCCGCGATTGCGCTAGCGACACAACCTTCGACTCCCTTCAATGCGGCCAATGTCTCAGTTTCTTTGAATGGGATCGGGTAGTAGATCTCGTTATGGAAAGATGAGAATGACACGGCATCCTTCTTTTCCACGACCTGCGGCGGCAAAGTGAGTCGTTCGGCTTGATCGCAGAGATATGAGAAGATTCGGCGTGCTTCCTGAACAGGCGAATACGAGTTGTCTGTTTCTGTGTCCGTCATGTTGACTCTCGGTTTCTGCGTTTAGACAGCAATCCTGCAGTTTGAATGTGGATTCTGGTTGTCGGATATGGGTTTATGCTCATCCAAGAAGTTGATGCTTTACAGTTCAAAGTACGTTTGAAAGACAGTAATGACTCAAAAGTAGATTTCCAGAGAATTTATTTAAGCAGATCATTGAATAGAGAAGATGATGCCGGAAAGCACATCGCCATGTCCGACTCGATTCCGAGTTATCGCCCGTCGGGTGGATGCATGCAAGGAATCATCTGGCACCGCAAGCGAGTGCTGTACTATCATAATTAGGAAGATTTCAAGGAAACAGCGAATAAAAATTGAGCATGCTCTCGTGAAATGTCATCCCCGCACAGGGAGGTTGAGATCCGAAGGCATTGCGGGTTGGGATTATTTTGATCGGATGTCAGTCGAGGCCGATAAGATCGGAAGACAGCGTGGATAGTGCTTATCTACGGTCATGTGTCTTTAGTCACGTGATATTATAGAGGACGATACGATCAAGGCACTTTGGTCTCCTGCTCCGTCTTTCTTGGGGGGAAGAGCTTGCTTAGAAGAGCACCGCAGATCGCAGGCGGTAGCATCATATCAGACACGTGAGTCAATGGTTTCTGGAGTTCACGAAATATTATTGTCAATAATATCGCAGGGGAATCTTCTTCCGCTGTCCCCACCGACAAGTGCATAAGATCTGATGTTGCGTCATTCCGTAGATGATCTGCCAAGTATAAAGAGGTACTACATCTATGGGATTTTCAAGCAAGCGAGCCGAGGTACTCTCAGTCTGTTTGGAGATAAAATCAAACAAGGCACAGTGAAAGATGTGCATATAACTATAGGCAGACCAAGGTAATCAGCACTGCTGTACAGAGAACCAATTGGCATTCGGATTGATAATTTAAAGGGGAAATTCCCCCACGCGCACCACGTATCTCGAGTTCTTGACGCTCCCGTAAGTCAATAGTGGCTTTACTAGGATATCATGCAGCTATGCTTAGTAAATAATAGGGCCAGTTTCACCTGGCGATCCGCAGGAGAAACTGAAGGGCACAGACTCTCCACTAAAGTACGGAGTAGCATGTCGAGTGATTTATTAGCCGAGTAAATAAGGGTTTGAACAGGACAGTGCGTTGACTGTAAACCCCCACTGTTTGGGCTGGGCTCCGGATTACCGGCAACTGGTACCTCTCTTTATTACTGTCTATATTACTCAAGATGCAATTGAGTGAAGCCATTAATAGAAGGCATCAGAATCAAACAGATAGACAATTCACTCACAAACATTAGTGAATTACATATGAGTTGCAAAAGGTCAATGCTTGCTTGTCTAAAACCTAGTATTACCTGCCTTCTTGTAGAGCAAGTGTGACGTAGCGACAGAGACCTACCTAGGTCTAATACATCTAGAGTTGGGTACTTGGCAAGTACTTACAACTCAGGTATCGCCTGTTTGCGGGGCCTACTGGTGATGTGGTGGTTTCATAGATCTACTGAATTTGCAACTGTACTTCCCAGACACTGAAGAACCAAACTCTTGACGTTAACGCGAGATTGATTGACCACCAATGATCAAGACATTCATTCTGAATTGATCAGGAGGGGGGTGAATAAGCGCAGCCAGTCATGGGAGTAATAGACATGCATGTGCTGTGGTGAAGATCCCACGTGCCCTAATCATGGACGCTTATCGCCCGCCCCATCGTGCTATGTACCAATGTTGTGATAGGGTTGCACCCTGTTGCCTTGACCTCCCAGACGAGCACACGCTGGGAACGCTGCAACCGGTTGGAAATTCATAGATGTCGATCCTTGAGGGGTATCTATCTCTTGAGTTCTTGAAACCCGGGCGTGGTCTTTACCGGTGTGTTTTCATTCGGATACGGAGTACACCTAGGTACATCTAGAGAAGTCCGGGGTAGTACATGGTACTGCGATACGATGAAATGATCTGATCGTTGTTCAAGTGGGTGGGATGTGGGAAAACTGATCAGATCTCATCATCTTGATTGATTTTTACTCTGTAGTGCTATGACGCCCGTTTCTTTTAGGTCTGTCACGATAAGCCACAGTGTAGAGAGGTAGGTACAGTCAGAGAGATAGATAGATGTACTTGGTAAGTAATACAGTGTCCACAGTGGCTCCGGATCCTCCCGGCGCTGTTCTGACATGGGGAGGAGACCGACTCCGGGAAGCTCTAGGCTGCTGGCCAATTACCAGGGCCACGCGCCTGTCTCGTTGGCGTTGGACCTGTTCTCGTCCGTATGGATCAGTATGGATCAGTACTCCGTCTGGACTATCTATTATGGAGACTGTATGGCGCAGTAACTATGGTACCCTGATGGGACCTGCGAAGTATGTAGACCAAGTCCAAGTACTTCACAGGATTTAACAACAGTAATAATCCCTCACCTCAAGTCCTCAGTATCCAGGTCCATCTACATTCCACCCTAGACTGCGATCGTCATTTCTCATGATTATTGACTTGCCGTAATCCTAATACAGCAAATACGCGAATATTCTCCCCCCGCGGATTCAACGCCGGCTGACGGACTGCGGGCACGCTTCACTGCGCCGGCTGATATTATTATTATCGCAACTATTATAATATTATATCCTATCCTCATACTTACTTTTTCCCCCCTCCTTCCTCCCCTCCTCCTCCTCATAGCTCTCTTCCTTCTACCATCGGAAAGCAAGTTGTCCAGGAAACCATCATACTGCTAGAATCGCGCTTGTTGAGTCTTTTTTGTCTGAACAGTCGCGTGCTTTGATCTATCCAATATCCGCGCGTCTTATTCGCATCTCACTCAGCTCACACACCGTGTCTGAGTCTCCTGCTTGAACTGTCATCTGTTGCCCCCAAAGTATTACGTGAGTGATCATACCCATATCAGTCTCTTTTTCCGATTCTTGGCCTCTTCTTTCGTCCCTGGTTTCTTTGTTCATCTATTTGCGAGTCACCAGTTTAGTCATCTCCGTCCCATTGTTCTGTTCCCCCTTGCGGCGTCTTATGGTTGGTGGAAGGTCTACTGACTCATGTGATGCCAGGTTTAGCCACCACAGAAGTACCAGATCATTTTCTCTTCAGTCCATTACTTCTCTCTACCATCATGGCTCCTCAAATAGCTACATCCAGCATCGCCATGGCCCTTGCTGGCAAGACGGCCTCTGTTGATATCCCCAAGCCCCGTTCCGGCTTTTCTTCTGGCAGACGCGACTCTGTCCGTCCAGGACATCCCGCGATGTTGCCCACGCCTCCCAATTCCATCTCCCCGACTCTCCCTCCGCAGGCTTTCAAAAAACAAGATCTTCGCCGTCCCGGGTCTCCTCCGCTTGCCACTTCGCCGCATGTGGATTCGGATATCGACCTGGGCGACGCTGCAAATGACCAGCGTCAGTCCGCGGATGGCCTGGATAACGTGGGAGAAATCACCCCGAGCATGCTGGCCAGGTATCACTTGCCCGAGGTCATGCTCAACCAAGGTCCTCTGGCTATCCGTCATGTCATGGCATACCTGACCACTTCGGTGCCCGGGTTCTCCAGAATCCCCCCTGCCAAGGCGCGCAGACTCGTCGTGGCAGCCCTGGAGGGCCGGGGGAATGAGGGAGGGGGCCTAAACGGCGATATCATATTTGAGAAAGTGGGTTGGGGCCGCTGGGATGCGCGACGCCGTGGCGAACCTTTGCGCAACCCCTCGCATCCAACCGCGTCGCCACCCGCTAGTTTCTCGAACTTGTTCACTCAGCGAGGTATGGCCATTCCGGCTAGGCGAGAATCCTCATATACCTACGGAAGCAGCATGACTGGTGATTCAGTCGTGTTCTCTTACACTGAAAGAGAGCATGGTCATGGGGATCTCAGCATGCTGGAACACGAAGCAGACAAGATGTCTCTCGACGGAGACGACCGCGAGTACTGCTCGTCTTCGGAGGCTCCTGATGAAGAGATTCCAGATGAAGACTGGGGTGAGGAGGACGTCACCGACGAGGAGGACTGGGCGCAGATAGGAGCCGCAGCCCTCCGCGCACGTTCAGTGAACGGAGGAGGGTTCATAAATGGCAACGGACCATCCCCTCTATTACGAGGCGGCGGACCTGCTCCGTCCTCGTTGGCAAAATCCGCACCGCGGCATATTCCCATTCAACAGCTCGGCTTTTCCGTGCCTGACGGCATGGTTGGCAACAAGGAAGAACGGGCCGCGGTGGAAGCATTGTTAAGACTTGGATCTATGTGAACTTCAGCAACAGGAATCGGCGTTGGTGCGAATGGTTTATACTCGGGTACACATTTTTGACGACTCGACTTTTACTTTCTATGATTTTAGAGGCGGGACGATCATTCCCGATATGGACCTCTTTGACTTATTACGATTTTTTATGACATACTCTCGGAAAATCCAGTTGCCAGATATTCAACACGGCACTCGCGGTCTGGCTGGCTCGATCGAATGGTCTTTTAACTGCATTGGGATCTGGAATTCACAGGGATCGGGTTCACGGAGTTTCTGGGTATGGGTTTTTATGATTGTTATTTCCTTCTAATACCAAGCTTGAGTGCACACATACTCAGCTTTCATCGTTGCATTTTGATACATCTGGGGCTTGCAGTCTATTTATCCCATACTGCTGCCATTTTCATTTACTTGTGCATTTGCCTGGTGCAAGACGGCTTCTCCGTTCTCCACTTAATCCCTTTGGTCAGCTGTACATTCAGTTTGATGACTTTGCATGTCTGCATGTTCCTGGTGAACTACTCTCAGGCAGATATCAGCAGTATATAACACTACATATACCATACTAGAAACAGAAATTACATATAATTGTCTTTGCCATGATATATCCCAATTATATGAGCATACATCTATCTGTAGTCCATCGTACCCTCCCGTCGCAAAATATATCCTGCTTTTCTTGGTCACTTAACTCATCAATGTAACCGGAAATAAATCAAGACTGGCTTGATACAAATGCTTGATCTTGATCTGATGTAAACCCAAGTTCTCAGCCAGCCAAGAAAGACAACCCGCATATACAACCCTCGAGAACCATCTACCATCCCACACCAATCCAACCCTAAGATCCCAGTACATATCAAGGCATAACGAATAAATTGCCACCCAGCCCAGCCCTAGACCGGTCTACTCAACAAACCCAGCTCCTCCCCCCATACCATCCCAATCCACAATATTTGCCCTAAACAAGAGACAGAAACAGGGACAACAAACCAACCAACCAACACAATCAATAGATAAAGATAAATACGGAGGAGATACTAGCAGCAGCACATCTACCGATCATGAGCCTCATTAATCCTCCTCCACACCTCAGCCTCCACCTCCGCAAGCTTCGTCCCCGCACTCGCTATCCACGACTTGGCGTTTGTCAGGAATCCGGACTCGGACCCGCCTTCAAGGCCGGAGTCAAACGCGTCGGTGCCATGGGCCTGGTTCTGGTAGAGGGGTAGTTGTGAGGCTGAGGCGGGAGGTTGGTAGAGCGAGGCATAGGGTGTGGACGTTGAGTTTGGCTGTGGCTGTGGCTGTGCGTGCGGATGTTGTCGTGGATGGAATTGTTGGTCCTGGGTTGGGTAAGTGAATCCGGAGGTGTACCCGCCGGCAGTGGGGTTGTAGCCGTAGCTAGGGATGGAGCTCGCTGGGGCTCCAGTTGTAGTTGCACCTGTGGCTGTAGCGGCAGGTGTTGGCTGAGGTTGAGCTTGAGCCTGGGGAGCAGCAGGACCAGGACCAGGACCAGGGACTGGGGCAGGATCAGGAGTTGAAGAAGCAGCCAAAGCTGGAGGTGCCGTCGGCGCTGGAATTCCTGGGTCAGGACGGGCTCCAGGCTGAGGGGGAGGAGGCGAGGTGCTCGTTCTCGTGGCAGGGGTAGCTATCGTCTCGGTCGCTGTGGGAAGAGGAGATCCGTCGCTGCCAGATATCGCTGGTGCAGTCGGCGCAGGCATGGTTGTGATGCTTCCTGGTTGAGCCTGGGCAGTGGCGTAGATTGGAGAGTATGGAGGTGCTGTTGCGGTAGCTGTCGTAGATGCAGGTTCGGATGGAACAGATTCGTCCTGCTTCACTGATGATGTGGACGGCGCCGCCGCCTCATGAAGCGCGGTTGTAGTCATGTTGACATCGGTATTTTGATCTTAAAGCCCAGCAACCTCAACGGTAGACAAGTTCCCCTGTCTCAAGGGATAGCAGCACCGACCGACGTCATGGGATCCAGTCACATCACGTGATTGATTACACGTGGTGTTTTACGAGAGAAATTTTCACCTACAATGGCAACGTCAAGGAGGCAACCCCAAACAAACAAAAACCAGTTTTCGTACCGGAAAGAAGTACACATTGAGAAAAAGAAAAGCTTGCAGGCAGTAAAGTACAACGGGTACACGAGGAAATATCACACTGCTTTATGCTCAAGACTCCCGATACCCTTCTTGGAGCATATTTTCTATAACCATCCACAGTAGCGTCCAGTTTCAGGCAGTTACGCCCGGAACTGACCAACCCCTTCCCCTATAAAGCCGCATCGGAGAAAACGATTCGAAGTTAATCAATCGTTTAGCCAGAGCCACCCTTGAACTTCTTGCCGAAGAGGATGAGCTGAACCTGGTCGTAGATGGACAGGACACCAGCACCAGCAACACCACGGAGGATGTTAGCACCAGCACCCTTGAAGAGAGACTTGACACCCTCCTTGGCGATGATCTGGCGAGCAGCATCCATGGAACCCTTGTACTTGACGGCCTCACCGGAGGTCATCATCATACGACGACGGATGGTGTCAAGAGGGTAAGAAGCAATACCAGCACCAGTGGTGACAGTCCAGCCGAGCAGGAAGGAAGCAAGGAAGCTACCCTCAAGAGAACCAACCAGGACAACAGGCTTGATGGAGTCGTACATGCCGAAGTACAGACCACGGTAGACAACAATACCAAGAACGGAGGGACCGAAACCACGGTAGAGACCGGCAATACCGTCGGAAGCGAGGGTCTTACGGTAGACATCAACGAGACCGTTGAACTGACGATCACCACCACCCTTGGCGGACTTGGCGTCGTTGGCAAGACGGGTACGAGCGTAGTCGAGAGAGTAGACGAAGAGGAGGGAAGTGGCACCAGCAGCCTGAATTTCTTGTTAGCTCGCAAGTCGTGTCTGCAGGAGACATGCTGAGGATATACGTACACCACCGGAGGCGAGGTTACCCATCATCCACTTGGCGTATCCATCACGGTCCTTCTTGTAGGCGAACATCGACTTGTAGGTGTCACGGAAAGCGAAGTTCAGAGCCTGGGTAGGGAAGTAACGGATGACGTTGGCAGTGTTACCACGCCACAGGGACATGACACCCTCAGCCTGGGCGGTACGACGGAAGCAGTCGACGATACCGTTGTACTTGCGGTCGAGACGGCCAGCACGGATCATCTCATCCTGTAGTGAATGGCATTAGTCGCGTTCCAGTTGAGCAGATTGTTTGTTGTTCAGATTCATAGAATGACAAGTTTTGCGACCATCCGATTCTCCCAATCATGGCGACAGAAACATCGTAAGTTATCGCAAAACTTCGCCCCGTTCGAATTGTCTTCTCACAGAGCGGCAGTCATTCTAACCGCTGGTTCGGGAGCGAAGAGGAGTAACCAACCTGGTTCTGGACAAGGAGCTTGATACGCTCGATGGGGGCAGCAGCAGTCTTGGAGACGGCAGCGGAAACACCACCCACTGCGAAATGGTCAGTAAAAGCTCGATAGAATGATCCCGTTGTCGCAATTTGATGATTGCCGAAGATTGAACAACCATCGGGATTGATTTAGATAGCACATACTCAGGAAGTCGACGACGAATCCCTGTGGTGAAAATTCTGTCAGCGAGTCGTTTCCCCGGGCTTCCAGGGTAAAACCGCGTCGAAAACATCGAATCGAGTTCCTAAAGATGATTGCAATGGCCCTCCACCTCATCGAGCTCAATTCCCCATCATTGCCATCATTTCAAGACCTCGATCCGATGCCGACTGGTTGTTGCCCAAAACAGAACTGCAGTAACTTACGGGCATGCCGAAGACGGTCTTGTCGGCCTGGTTAACGTCACCCTTGGCCATGTTGACGGCTGTAAAGGACGAAAACTAAGAAAGAGATGAAGAGAGGAGATGGGGTTGAGTGTCAGAAAGAACAGGACACTTCAAAAGAGATGGAAGGAGAAAAAGAGGAAGGGGAACGGGAAGGGGAAGGGAGGAAAGAAAAATAGCGAGCGAAGGGCTCTTGTAAGCGGGAGGAAGCGAGTGGAGCCGCTAGGACGCTCTAGGAAAAATCTGGTTTGCTGGCCTCAAGCGTAAAAAAATTTCGCAGCAATTTTTTTCCTTTTGCCAGCGGACAAACGGCCAGCGAAACAGAAAAGAAGGGGAAAAATGGCAAAAAAGAAAATTCGGAACCGGCGCTAACGATGGCCCAGGCAACGAGAGCCGATAATTCCCGATCGACCAGAGCAATCGTAATAATAACACAGAATACATAACGCTCTGTCACCTGGTCTTCACAATTTTTCAGCATAGATTTTTATAACAATGCTCTTCTCGGGACAGGCTTGACTAGTAATCCATAACTACGGAGTTAATAGGAGGAATAATTCGTTTGGTGATCGATAGGTGTCTTCCTTGTACGATATTCTTCACTGTCTCCCCGTCACTAAGCCAACCGTAACCCGGAGAGCCTCCGCCCAGTAGCCCACACTCAGCATATTCACGGGGAACGGATCTCAAGGCTTTTCTATTCTTGGTCTTGTCCCGAGTCTCCCGATGGCAAAATTTTCCTCGTTAGCCACCAGTCAGTAGTCTTGTAGATTCTGTAAATGCGGATAGAAGTTATGGTCGACTTCGAAGTCCGGATACCCCAGTAGATTTTTTTGGATTGATAGACACCCCCATGATCTAGTGTTTGTCAAGCCGGTCATATGCGTCGCTGCGTTTCGGTTCTCAGTGCCGCGGATGTTCGAGGACATATTGAGTAGATACTATCTACGACATCTTTCCTAGAGTGGATAGTTATCTTCAAGCAATGCCAATTGCGTACCCTGCGATTGAGCTTGGCGGATTCTCTCACGAAGCATTGTCAGAATGCCCTTCGTAAATACAATTCTTATCAATGTGATTGATCCGATTCGTCTGAAGAAACTGCTCCGTTTCTCGCATACCTGGACTTTTGACAGGACACTCGGTGTATCTATATGACCGTATATGACCGGTTCGG